GTGGACGAGACAACCATGGTGGCGAGGTAGGGGTTATGGGAAAGGGACGATAAATGTGAGCATTGCTAGATGTCCAGGGATTGTCCAGTAACTCAGAATTTAGTGTTGGGCGGTACCAATCAAGTGGGTGTGAATTTGGAAGGTGAGTTTGAAGGGTGGGCGGCTGGTGTTGCACATTCGGGTACGGCTGTGTGGTTGAGCGTGGTAGCGATGATGACGCTGTTGATGATGATGATGAGTCCAGTGGCGAGTTCGGTGATGGAGGTAGCGATTCCGGTGACGGTGGCAATTCTGGTGATGAAGGTAGCGGTTCTAGTTGCGGAGGCAGTTCCGGTGATGGAGGTGGTGATTCCGATGACACAGCTGGCGTGTCCGGAGGCAGAGCTAGCGAATCCTGTTTCTGGAGAGGCCCAGGGCCAGTATTTAGTGTGTTCGGCAGTGAATTTACTGAAGCTGATTTACTAGAATCCAGAGGGGTAAAACAGAAAGTATCGCGTTGGTTTAGTAATAAAGAGCAAAAATAAAAGTTTTATTAGAGAAAATGGGAAAAAATAGCGGAAAGATGTATGTAACACCTTGAAAATTTGGAAATGAACGTGCTGTGATTGTGTTTGTAATTACTGTATTATTTTAAGATTTTAACTTGCTTCGTGATTGTACTTGGAATTAACTTTCTATTATTTCATTAAATGTAGGTCTAATTACCTAAAATGAAGACTTTTACTTTGTGATTGTAAATTATAATATTATTGACCTACCTACATATCAATTGAAAGTTTACAGATTGTTTAAACTGGATTTAGCACCAATAGGCCTATATTGTATTTTATGGATTATAATTATGGATTATAATTGTAATCAGTTATTCAAATAGGAGTACTATAGCACTTCGAAAAATCTAATTCAAATGTGCAGGAAACTGTGAATTGCATACTTACAATAAGCAATAGAGCTTTTTTTATTCCTAAACAATGGTTACGTGTAACTAGGTAGGGTGGATGATCGCAAGAGCCATGGCCTTTTCTTAGTTTAGGTTAAGGCCCAGTCAGCCAATTTACTTGAATATTGCTTTAATTAAATTTATATTTGATTTTTGTATAATGCAAAGTTTAGTCATATCATTAATATATAATGCGGATTATTATGGAATTATTTTGGTCATGAGATAAATTAGATAGCCTATTTTTTACATTTTACACATAATAAGTACACATACTAATTACATTGATTCTGCTTGATTCTCCTTTATTTTCTTTTCATTTCAGAATAAAATAGTAGTAGGCCTACTACCATGAAGAAATTACGTTGTGAAATAACATCGGGGTACTGTATTCAGAGAAAGCGTTATATGAATGGGAGGAGAGAACTAAACCAAGGAGAGAACTAAACCAATACATATTATCTTAGGCCTATCTATAGTTTCCAGAATTAAGATTATATTGAAAATCAACAGTGTACATTTACACGTTTTTAGCTCATTAAGTGACCACTTAAGAAAAAATTGAGTTATCGTTATAGCGATATTGAACATTAAGACTGGATATATAACTGTAAAATTAAATACTGAATGTAATTATATGAAAAAAAAATGTATCATAAATACGCATTTATTTTATTTTTTAGGTTGGGCCGAAAGAAATTGTTGGAATGTTTTTTAAAAAGAAATTTATTGATATTTAGTTACTTATCAATAAAAATAATTTATTTGTCGAAAATATATAAATAAATCCACACACGTAGGGCCTATTGAAGAGATCACATTTTATAAGAAACAAAAATAAACGAACGAGTTATAATTAATGCTGTGGCTAGAGATAGTTATCGTATTATAAGGTACGGTAATTGGCATTACGTCAACTTCACCAAGTGCCAGAATGTGCGTGACGTTATCTGTCAAGATTGGCATTGCAGATCAGAAGGGAATAAGAGAACGATGGGTATATTATTAGAACAATAAGCAAAACGTACAAGATGATATAACAGTACCGTACCTTTTCCAAAGCATATAGGCCTATCATTGGTATACGCGTATTTAAATTACAGTCCTACAATGAATTACAAACAGAAAACAGATAATACAAAATGTGTTCTATTCTATGCATCGCGGTTGTTCGCGCAACCGATTTTAAGAATAAAATTTAATTTGTCACTTAAGTCTACAGCCTCCGAAAAATCATATGGCTTGTCGTCGCCCAACACTAGTTGTTTCTGTTTCTGCAACAGCTCGGCATTTGAATCTAAGAAAAGTAAAATGTAACAAAAATGGGTCCTACTAAATACCACACGGGACCACTCGCGACCACACGTAACCACTCGCGACCACTCGGGACCACACGGGTGCAAAAATGATAAAAATATTACCACACGAGAGTAGAAAACTACTTAATAATCAATAGAAACCAACTTTTAGTACGGTAATTATCCGAATTCCGTTAAAAATCGATGTATCTTGATTTTGATTTGTTGGTTTTTCCCGTCGTGTCTCGGTAATGTAATGCGTTAATTGCGGATCTGTAACGCATTGACGTGTCAGCTGAAACGCATTCAACCATGACCTTCATGTCTGTGTTTCATATCATCAATCAAGATAGGCCGTTAAATACTGCCACGTGAACAGTAATAAACCTATTCTACATAAAATGAAAATGAGAATTTGAATTGTTATATATTGTTAGATTGATCGTTTATTTTTATTTTCAGTCAAACTCGTATACAGTATGTTTTTTTTTTCTTTTTCAGTGTAGGGTCTACATCAATGGAATAAAGAAGATTGCATTAATATAAAATATATTATTAGAAGTGAATAAATACAGAACCCAACTTGTAGTAAAGAATTAGCCTCAATTTGGTTACCAGTAGGGTGTA